CTAGTAAACTCTCGTAACTATTGCGTTTATTCATGTAAAATTAACTAAAGTAGAAAATAAACTTGCTGATATTCCAATCAAGCATATCTTATAAGTGCAATTAAGACTCTAATTAAGTCATTAGGCTGGGAATGAAAACCGGCAGGTCTGTGGTCCTTCAGAACCCGGACTGGGAACCCATGAGGTCACGGATTCTACCTCTTCGATCAGAAATGATCAAAACAGATTAATTGTACACTGGATTGTCTATCTTGTTGTCGAAGGAGTTGACCCTACCTTTAATGAGCAGCAAGGCTTTAAAAAAAAAAAAGCCCTCAGCCGGCTCTTTAAATCTGCAAGGTCAAATCCTGGATTTCATAACAGAAAGAAACACAATTCGTTTTTCTTCTTTCGGTTCCCTGGTCATTTAGTGCGATGTTTTCTTTTTCACAGATCGGATATTCGTTACAGCTCGCCGTGTGAGAAGCTCGATCTCACAGTAACACTGCCATCTGCCGGCGATACAATGACATTGTGCAAAACGCACTTCCGCGTTCCCTTTTCATGGGTATCTCATTTTGAAAGCGCGCGTGGGAGGTTAAGGTTAATACATTTCATATCGAAGGTGGCCAGTCATGGCGCTGAACTGCACAGTCAGTCAGATGATATAGGGCTACTCTCATATTACCAATTTCCAAAAATGCAATGCAATTTGCAAAATTAAACGACAATCACAGGAAAAATTACAATTCACACTAGATTGTTTAGTAAAGAAATCGAGATCTTTCCGAGTGAAAGCACTTGCCGAATTGAGCAAAAGCCTACATCTGGAACGGGTCTTTATAGAATGACTGTTAAAACCAAACCAGCTGTTTCCATCCAGCGCCATACTGGCTGGTTCCTAAACCTCTCCACTGCGCCTGCATCAGGGAACCCTGTACAGCTGGCTCATGCAACACCAGCAGCCCCTGGAGCAGATAAGACCAGCCTGATCAGGCAGCGACCCCGGACAAAGGTGATTATTGCATGATTCATACATTTTCCTGCATTTTGGAAATGCAGTTTCTCACATACAGAACCTCTAGGAGTTCATATTTTTCTCCCAGCAGGCTATTTGCAATAAAAGAGAGACTGGTACTTTTAAGGTGCAAAGGTAAGTGTTATGTCATAAAAGCGATCTCTCAGGGAACTGCAAATGAGATTATAGCATCACAAGCCATACACAACACTTGTCAAAAGCATCTGGAATTTTAAATTATACAGGTCCTTTTTTTTTACTTACAGGATTAAAGACGAATTATTATGGTTTTGCAGAAAGGAGCGCACACCGGTCTTTCTAGCACTGAATAATGGGTTTGCAACTCATCTCTTATTTACAATGCAAGCAATGATCTGCAGATCCTAACTCAGCCCTACAAAACG